AGGGAAGGGAAGGGAAGGGAAGGGAAGGGAAGGGAAGGGAAGGGAAGGGAAGGGAAGGGAAGGAGATGGCTCTGGAAATGGAGAGAACGTTGGACTGGAGAGGCGATTTTTAGGAGGGGGGCAGGCACAGGGTGGGATTGATCTCAGCATCAAAGACAACCCCCTCCTCCCATTTCCGGCTGCTGAATGCCTGAGCCCCCTCCCTGGTGGCCGGGCTTGCCTGATGCAGCCCCGTGAACTGCCCAGCCTCACCCTTTCTACTCCTGACTTTTGCCTCACTCCCCCCCCCAGAAGAAAGTACAGGGTTCTACAGCAGAACCTCTTGTCTCCCGACCTTGCACAGGTTGTGGGGCTCACTTGTCTGTCAGGCCACGTGCTTCCCCCTTTAGACTGAGTTCCTTGAGAACAGTAGGTACCACCGAGTTATCCCACAATGTGAACAAAGTCACAGAGTCCGGATAAACGCTAGGTGACTGACTGAGTGAACAAGCAAACCCTCAGTGCCTAGCAGAGGGCTCCATCTGTGGTTTGTGCTGATGCTCATTGAATCAATTAGTTTGTAAGGGAGTGAATAAATGAGAGGAATGAATGAATGAACTCACAGTGCCTAGCGCCCAGTCTGCTTATGTAACAGACTAATACATATTTGTCTTTATTGTTTAAAAACTGAGTGTATTTAAACCATATATATTCATATGGTTTAAAATATGTAAATAAAGATATTGTGGAAGTCTCATTCTCACTCCTGGTTCCCACCACTTTTATTAGTTTCTGATCTTTCCAGAGTTTCTTCATGCAAATTTATGGAAATGAAAAAAATATTTTGTTATTGCCCATGGCCATGCTTGGTGAGGGTAGTTGGGACTGAGCTGGTAGGGACTTGCTTGTCCATCTCTCATTTATCCTGAAACTGGAATCAGAGCCCCGGACTTGGGCTTCATCCTGGCTGGGGCTCTGACCTCCTACCTGGCCTGCGTGTTGGGGAGGTACAGCCCCTCCGGAAAGAGACAGACAGGGTCACTGCTTCCTTAGAGTGGGCGAGGTGGGATGGGTTCCACCTGAGCTGCTGCTAGGTGGAACCATACTAACTAAAGAGCAACAAAGCCCAGAGCAAGAACCTTCCTCCCTTTCCATTTTCCCTTCAACTTGTTAAGGAGAAAGTCTCCGTTGAATGCTGGTGTGTTTTTAACACCTCTCTTAATACTTACTTCCCTTTTTAACAGAGAGCTGGCCTCCACCTCGTAGCCTTCTGCAGGCAGCAGGATCTGGCAAGAATTTAATGACATTGTTTTGTTTTCATTGTACTTATTTTTATGGTTACCTTCTATTTATGGCACTAGATACTGGTTTTCCATTTATGGAGGGATCTAAAGTTCCCTTTTGAAATGAATATTTTTATGTTTTTAAAAGAGGGTCCATTTAAAGAAAAAAATGTTATGTAACTGGCAGCACAGGTGATACCCCAACATGAAAAGAATTATAAACAGGAATGTGATGGGCTGAAAAGGAAGAAATGCCTCTCAGGCCAAAAGCTTCTCCCAGCCTCTATTTAACAGAATATACCACTGAGGCTTAATGAGGGGAAAGGCATTTCTCAAGGTCACACTATTGACATAGACTGAGAACTGGACCACCTGATTCCCCTGTGGTGTGGACAACCTATGCAGAGGTGTTGGGCAGGGGTCAGAGATCGTGCCCACTCCCATCAGCCTGGCCACTACACTGGCCAGGGTCAGGGTCTCCAAAGCTGGCCAAGTCACAGACTGAGTGCAAAAAGGACCTGAGCCCTGAAGGAGAGGAGAGGAGAGAAGCAGACCCTGCACTGCATGCTGGACTTTGCCCCAAGGGGACTCAAGGATTCAGGGGAAAGACACATCCTAGAAAAATAATTCAAGTTCCTGGAGGCAGTGTGACAAGCGCTCCAACAAAGACATTGCTAATGACATCTGGGGTTTTTGCTTACAGAGTGGCCATGTCCCCATTTTCTTTTGGGAAACCATCCCTCCCCCACTCTTGCTTGTTGTAGCTCTGGCCAGGCAAACCCCACACCCACGGCAAAGGTGGGCACATGACCAGGCCTGGCCAATCAGAACCCTTCATCCCTCTGGCCATAGGGACTGGCATAAAGTTGGACATGTGGCCCCAGGACTTTTGCTGGAACTGCTAGGAAGATGGCCCACTCCAAAGAAGCTTCTAAAAGGATAGTCGTAATTCAGAGATGCTGGAAGCCATCTTTGTCACTAAAAGTGGAGAGGCTCTCTGAGAATGAAGCTGACATTGAGGAAAGCATGATGAGAGAGACGGTTCTAATGATATCGTAAGGTCATCCGGATTCAGCTATAAAATCAGGGCCCTGACTCAGTTCTAGAAACCAATAACTTATCTTTTTTATTCCCCTCATTAGCCACTTTGAGCTGGATTTCTGTCACGACCAAAAGAGACCTGGCCAATTCCAGGCAGAAACACATGGAAAAGCTGGAAGAGGAGAGCAGTTGGGGTGATGAAGATTTGTCTGAAAATCCTTTCTTGTGGGGGTAAGATTTGAGCAGGGTTTTGAAAAATGAAGAGGATTTTGATGCATGAAAAAGAAACTATTTCCAGTGAGGGGAGCAGCTCCGGCAGAGGCTTGGCAGTGCAGGGACTGGCAGGCAGTGTGGCTGGGGAGAAGGAGAGGGGTGGAGAAGCGGTGGGAGAGGGACTGGCGGAGGGGATGTGCCTGAATTGTGCAGAAAATCAGTTATTCCTTTGCCTGCACCCTCCTTCTCTGGAAGGGCACCCTTCATCGGTTAATTTATCCACAAACATTTATGGAGCACCTGCTGTGTGCCTGGCCCTCTTGCAGGGCTGGTGAGATAGCAGTGGACAACACAGGCAAAGTCCCTGTCCTTCTGTAGTTTCCATTCTAGTCAAAGGAGACAGGCAGTAAGCATGACAACTAGATAAATAAGTATCACAGAGTCAGGTAGTTATAACTTAGGAAGAAAAACTAAGACGAGTTAAAGATTGGTGGAGAGCTGTTTGGGATGGTAAAAATGGTGGTAGTTGCACACCACTGTGGATGTACTTAACGCACTGAATCGCACACTTAAAAATGGTTAAAACTGAGAATTTTGTGTTACATGTATGTTACCATACACAAAACAAAAGATTGGTGGAGGGGTGTTATTTTAGCCAGGGTGGTCAGGCCAGGCCTCCTTGAGGAGGAGGCACTTGAGCAGAGATTTGAATGAAGGGAACTACGTAGCCTTGAGGATGGGTGAGGAGATCATTCCAGGCAGATGGCAATGTGCCTGGTGTGTTCTACCAACTGTAAGGAGGCTGGTGTGCCTGGAGCCCGGAGAGCAAGGGGAGAGGGAGGGAGATGAGGCTATAGGGGCAGCAGAGACTGGCACCCCAGGAGAGAACCTTGGATTTAGTTGTAAGAGTGATTGGAAGCCTTATAGAATTGGGCAGGGGAGGGACATGAACTGGCCCTTTTACTCAACTCTTCCCTTTCTCCAACACCCAATCAGTGTCTTAATCAGGGCAGTTATTTCACCTCTGCTTCCTGAATATCTCCCCTGGCTGCTGCCCTCTTTTGCCTGCCTTCATGACTGTTACCTAGTTGAGGTCATCATTTTACATGGATGACCCGAGTGGCCCCCAACAAGCTTCTGTGCCTTCCCCCAACCAGCCCTCATCTTGGTCACCAGCGGCTTTTCCACCTGCACCTGAGTTGTCCTTTCCTTGATGAAGGAGTCCTTCGCAAGTCCCTATCCACAGTGTGTTTTCAATAAATATTTGTTGAATAAATGAATGAGCTTGGAATTTATCTTACAAAAGCAATACCACCACCACCACTATGGCCACCACCAGCATCACCACCAGCCAACCTAGGTTGAGGACTTGCTGTGTGCCTGGCGAAACGCTTCAGACCCTGAATCTAAGCTACTTTTTACAATCCTAGGAGGAAGCCACCGTAATTAGCCCCATTTTAGAGATGAGAAAACTGAGCTTTGGTGAGATGAAGCAATTTTCCCAAGGCCGTGTAGCTCAGAAGCAGCAGAGCTATCAGCCCAAACTCCCAGCTCAAAGCCATGGCCACACCATACAGCAGGGGAGGTGTCTAGGCATTATTGCCTCCACGAGTGGGGTTCCCAGGAGCCTCTGAAGCTCGTATGAAGCTCAGTTGTCCATGGGCTTCTTTGGGGGGCAGGTTCATTGCTTTCCTCAGAGCCTCGGAGGGGTTCTCGGTACCTCCCATTTCAGGTGCCCTTCTTCACGCGAAGAAGGATGGGGAGTTTTGAAGTGCAGGACTGATGAGGCCCAGGCTTTGAGGAGGGCCGCTCTGGCTGTTCACTGCTGCACTGTGTCCCTAAGAGGAGACTGGCCATAGACACAGACAGCAGCGTGGTGGTCGCCAGAGGGAAGGGGGTGGGGGAGGAAGAAGAGGGTAAAAGGGGGAAACGGTGACAAAATGAGACTTGACTTGGGTGGTGAACACACCATCCAGTATACAGATGATGGATGGACTATAGAAGGTGCACCTGAAACCTGTATAACTTTTTTAACCAGTGGCACCCCGATAAATGCAATAAAGATAAAAGGAAATGATTGGAAACATCTTTCATGTCCATCAAGAGTGGATACCGTAGTTATGTTGGGGTGCATCCTCCCCGGAAGGGAGTAGTAAGCAGCTGCGGAGGTGAGTGGGGAGCCTCTGTATACACCAATATGGAATCATTCCAGTATTTTTAAAAAGATGAAGCAACCCTGGCCGGTGTTGCTCAATGGTTAGAGCATTGGCCTTCACACCAAAGGGTTGCAGGTTCAATTCCTGGTCAAGGGCACGTACCTGGGTTATAGGTTCGATCCCTGGTGCTGGTCAGGGTGCATGCAGGAGGCAACCAATCCATGTGTCTCTCTTATATTTCTCTCTCTCTCTTCCCCTTCCACTCTCTCTGAAAAAGCAACGGAAAAAATATCCTCACGCCCGGCCGAGCGTGGTTCAGGGGTTGAGCATCGGCCTAGGATCCAGGAGATCATGGTTCGATTCCCGGTCAGGGCACCTGCCCGGGTTTCGGGCTCGATCCTCAGTCGGGGGCGCGCAGGAGGCAGCCTATCAATGACTCTCTCATCACTGATGTTTCTCTCCCTCTCCCTCTTCCTTCCTCTCTCTGAAATCAATAAAGATATATTTAAAAAATATATATATCCTCAGGTGAGGATTAAAAAAAACACGAAGAGGGTAAGATCATAGATCTAGATTTGCTTCCGTATACCTAGAATGTCTTCAGCAATATTCACAAGAAAATAGCCAGTGAAAACCCTGCCTCATATGGTTTTTATGAAGATTAAATGAGTTAATATCAGATAATTGCTTAGAAGAGTGCCTGGTGCATAGTAAGCACTGGATAAAAGAAGGGTGGCCTCCAGCCGATCAATGACTCTCTCATCATTGACATTTCTCTCTCTCCCTCTCTTTCTCTCTTTAAAATCAATAAAGACAAAAAAAAAAAAAAAGAATTGCCTCAGGCATCAGAAATGAGGTGCCTGAGAGGTAGGGAGGGACTTACTTTCACCTGATGCTCTTAGGTACCTTTTGAATTTGTTCCGTGAGCAAATATTTTTGACATTTTTTTAGAAATTAAAATTAAATATATCTAAATAGATAAGAGATCATCTGAGAGGATTCAGAGACTGGCAGGAGGTCCCACCCATAATTCCCAGGAATTAGCTGGAATTGGTCAAAGGCTACATTGTGTGGTGTGAAAATCAGGACGTGAAGAGAAAGAGGGGGGACACCAAAACACCCACGCCCCAGGGCCCACTATAAAAAGCACATTTAAAAACACCAGACTGGAAATGTTTTTTTAAATTATTATTATTATTTTAAATAGCAAAAGCGCGTCCCCCCAGGAGGCGTGCTGCAGCTGCGGCTTCGGCAGTTCCCAGGTGATGTCAGTCCTGGCCAGGCTCCAGCCCCGGCCCCTTGGAGACTGTCTTGGTGGGTTCAGCTTGACTGTTTTTCCTTCCTGAGACTTGAGGACACCTTCCTGTCTCAAAGAAAGCAGCCTTTCCAGGGCTTTCTGAGGGCCGGGGGCGGAGGAGGTGGTGGGCCTGGGCTGAGAGGGGAGGAGAGGCAGGGGAGGGT